GGGAACAGGAAATTCATAAATGTTTATTTTCCGTGTCCTCCCTAATAGTTATTTACGAACCTACGATATCCTAATAAGTCCATAGTAATATGAAAATATTGGAGATTCAGAATACATAACATGATAATTTAGTCTGACCTGTCTTACCTTAAATATGCTCAGAAGATGTACATTAGGCTGTATCTAAGAAAAGTCTTTCAATTCCAACCTATTTTATATTAAAATTTTGCATATATCATGTAATTAAATGAATATAATGTAGAGATCATTAGGTATATCAGACCAGGAAATGTTATAAGGTATTTTCTCCCTGCTTTCTGCATGCCTTCGTGGTGTAACGGTAGCACACTCGGCGCAAAAGCGAAAGTTCCAGGTTCGAGTCTCGGCGAGGGCATTTTTAATGTCTCTTACTTCAAAAATCGTAATGGCTCTACAGTGGCATTCGAACTATAGCACACTCGGCGAGAGGTCGAGGTTCGAGTCCCGGTGAGGGCATTGTTCATTTTTCACGCCTTCAGCATCAAAATAACCTACTGTCTGTACAGTATAAAAATTCCACTGTACCCCCGGCGGAGTTCGAACCACAAATCTTTATACTATTAGGTGTATTTACAAGCCACTTACACCACTGGAGTGCTCACGGAAAAACGCAATGATTCCTTCAAATCATATTGTAATCGAAGCTGAAATTATTGAATGGAACCATATTGTATTGAAGTGAATATCTGGATATTTAATACTCACTTGACAAAAATGCTTGAGGCTGAAGAATATTTGAAATTCTTAGTTTAACTTATAATTTCTCCCACTTTCCTAGCGTGCCTTCGTGGTGTAGTGGTTCTGCACTCTGGGCCGGTAATCCAGAGGTCCGTGGTTCGATTCCCGGCGAAGGCGATTGCTCATTTTTTATCTCTCCGGCTTTTCCAATTTAACCTAATGTATCTATAGTGGCGCCCGAACTAAAAGGGTGTTGGATGAGGTTTCTACACACCCAGGATTTGGCGAATGGGTCCCCTGAAAACCCCAGTCGCCCTTTAAAAAGAGGCGTATATAAGGTATTTCTCCCACTTTCCTAGCATGCCTTCGTAGTATAGTGGTTCTGCACCTCTGGGCCGGTTATCCAAAGGTTCGATTCTCGGCGAAGGCGATTGCTCATTTTTCATCTCTCCGGCTTTTCCAATTAACGTAATGTCTTTACAAACTTAATTGCAGAACGGTGGGAATACCAATACATTCTTGAAAAGTAATAAGGTCTTCGATTTCCGTCTATTCACATGAGGATCCAGAATAGCTGGTAGAAGATCATGAGGAATCGCGATGTAAACATACAGGGAACATACGAATTTTGTTAAGGCACGGTTTCTTACAAAAACGTCTTAATGATGAATTCCCGAATTTTTTTATAGTTTTCGTTATATACATCTTTTTTGCTAAGAGAAACATTCTAAATCTGCCTGTCAGCATCTTTTGCCCGTCTGCTTTGATTGTGTCGTATTGGGAGCCCAGGAAAAGGGGAAACTTTTAAAGCTCCGGGGTACAGTTTCACTGGCGATATGGAAAAATCTGGGATCGTTATGTTTTACGAAGTCTTAAAGTCGGAAAATCGGGAACAGCCTGTACTATTTTATTTTTTTATGACGAAGTATTATAGCTTAGAATCCTGAACCAAAGCATTTGTTGCATCATGACGTTGCGCTGCATTAAAGAAAGATATATAAGATAGTCTTTTAATTCCAATGCCTTTGTAACGTCAATACAAGACAGTTTCCTTCAGAATGTATCCTCAGAAAGTACCCCATCCATTAGACAGACAGCCTTTGCAGATTTTGGTCTGATCGATCAAACAAACGAATGAACATTTCAAGGTCGAGTTTCGGCCTACTTTTAGTTAATGCAGAGATATCCATCTGTGCTTTATGTGCTTATAAAGTAAAAGTGTCATCTCCTTGTTGAATGTTGATTTATCGTTAAAGATTACTCTGAGATGCTCTAGATATGAAATTGATAGTTTGTAGAGTTCAGTTCGTAGTAGCCCTTTTCGACCTCATGTTTGATGGTGCCGGGTATCGTATCATTCGGCTCAGATCCGAAGGTATGGGTATTTGTAAATAAAAAGTATCTTTGCAGAATGTGAACGGTTAAAAAATATCGACAAGCCTAAAATCTATTTTAGAAGTTGGTTGTTAAGGAAGAGGGAAATAGAAGATTATAAGGGATCATTCATACGGAGGGCTTTTGCTGTCATAAATGGTATAAAATGAGCTTCGTTGTTTGATACGTCACGGAAAGTGGTATAAGAATTTTCCTTAAATGTTCTAACTGTTCATATTTATTCCAAGGTGGTATAAAAACTGAACAATCACAACGAAGCAAACGCGAGCTGATATTCGATCGACTATTTCGCTAACTTTTGCTACACATTTATGACTGCGTAGTTTTACCTTTCCTGACAGCTACAGCTTTTTTCTAGAAGTGTGAGTGGATTTAATGACTTTTGTGCGTAAGCCTATGACAATAATGTGCGTAAGCCTATAACGATTAGAGAATGTTTGTGAATCAATATTCGTGTGAATGTTTCTAAGGTGACCAAAACCTTGCAAACAAGATATGCTATATTTTCCTCTTGGGCATGACAAAATTCGTGGATCGCTCACCAGCGGCCAAGCGGTTAAAGTCGCTAAACTCTGGTAACTTGAACTAGATTTCGTTCCAGGCTGCATGGACATATTCGTGCTTTTCCTCATGTTTAATGTGAATATGAGCCGGTTCTCCTTAGAAAGTTTTTCACGAAGGCATTCCTTTCCCTAAGCGGATAACTTTAGCATGTTTTGCCGTAATCAAATAAACCAAACCAAAATTCGTGGACTTGATCTGGAATCTAACATAAAATTGGGATGATTAAAAGTAATGTTTATTTACAAGTGCCTTGGTTTTTGCATGTAAGCGATTATTCGTCTTGACTCTGAATACTTCTGAGTTTTGGGTTACAAAGTTAAAACTTTTAACTGTAGAGTATGAATTTAATTTAAAATTAGACAAAACAAGAGTAACAGGAATAAAATTCTGCAAGTCCCCCCCCCTTAAGAGAGGACGAAGAGGGACTTGTATCTTTTCGCCCGCAAAGTCGTTGGAATTTGAATTAAAACCCAAACAGAAGGTTAATGTTTTGCCTAATTTTTAAGCTTTCTTTTAGCATGTTTCTCTTCTGTCATGAGTTTGTGCTTTCTATATTTTGGCTTGTCCACAGTCATGAAGACCACTGATGATTATCTAATATTAAAGTGAAACAGATTAACAGTATTCATCCATGTCCTTGTTTAAAAGACGGAATGATACTATAAATGTAGCATGAAGAGAACCTGGGATAATATGTCCTTTTCTAGGAGATAGTGGCCAGTCTTTTACCTTTGCTTTTTCCCTGAAATTTGAATCATGAATCGTGCTAAATTCCATGTTTATCATTCCCTTAGAAGCAATAAATAATTTGCAATATCTGAATCAGCCGCTGATTATATGATTTGGTTGCTGTGCTAAGAGAACGAACATATTAAGGCTTTGGGCAGATAATGATATGGCTTATCTTGTAAAAATTATATCTCTTTTATGGGAAATGAACCAGGTGTTCCACTGGTTAAAAATACGGTGTTGTGTCGTATTTTTAAACAGACTTTTTTTATAGTTGCTTGTGGCTGGGAAAATAAGTTTGTGAATGTCGGAGGAATACAGGTCTCAAGAAACCGGAAGAATATAAGAAATGTTACTTTCGACCTATTGTTATATTCTTTTAAACTGGTCTGAAATTGTTGAGAGCTAGAGAGCTATTCTCCCTTTTTTTTAAATTATTGATTAATAGCAAAATCTAGTAACTCGATTTCTTGTAGAACCTTAAGTTATTCCATTGTTGATTATTAGTTAAAGCATTTTCCTCAACTCTCATTTCATACTTTATAACCAATCTTTGTCAAGCTTATTTGCTGTGGAGGAGCCCTCACAAGTAATTTCTAGCTGTAGAAGAAATCCCGTATCCTTACCTCGCTATAACTATTGCTGGTATTTCAGTATGAATACTTTAAATAATTTTAAGAAATAATTGCGTTTCCCTATGCTTGCTTTCCTTTTCGCATGCCGTACACGTACAGCTGGTAATTGATAGATCCGTGGTTCGAATCCTGCTGACGAAGCAATTGATTTCTTACATTGCTTACTTCGGGGGGGGGGACGTCGCCCAGACGTATACTGGTTGGGGGACTGAGTGCGCACCGAAGGGCCCGGGTTCGACCGAAAGGCATGGTTGTAAGTGTCCGTCCCTTCATAGGAGGCAAAGGTGGCCCACCTATTAGATGCCTCCTCCAAGTGACCACCGCTTCTGCCCTTGGTAGTGGCTGCCGTCTATGATGACTTGTTCCCGTCATTGGGGGGGGACTAAAATGTAAATGACATAATTCATCACTACTGGATTTGATCGACTGGGTCTAGTACTCTTCCCTGTGGCTCTCAGAGTGAGGGAGAATATACGGAATTATCGTTTTCTCCTGGACATACTCCTTAGATGTAACTGATTATCCCGTTCTTCCTAGCAGCTTAAATGACTCGTGGTTCGAATCCCGAAGAAGACATAGTGAAGTTTTCATGGTTCAAAATGTCTAAGGGACTACACAGTTTGTCAATTATTATCAATTAAAATGCGTTTTTTAAAATATTTCCTAGTGTCCCTTTTTTAATGTTCCTAGAGTGTGTCTTGGCCAGTGAATTTACCCATTTTTGTCAAGTCTAAATTGTTGTTCGTTATTTTTGTTCGATTTATTAAAACAAGTAGTGTATAATTTTATTTGTACATTTTTAACGCATGGGGAGTTTGTGTATGTGTTCAAGGAAAATAAAATGTTAAAAATATATTGAGTATGAAAGTTTTTATATTCTCTAAACCTGGGCTTTAAAATTTTGATTATAGATATCGAGTTTAGATTTTGGATATAATGCTTCGGGAGGTGATATAGTTTGCATTCTTTTCTCTTGTGTTATTGACGGAATATTTCTTGTATTCTTTTCAGCCGAGCGTGATTGTCAGCAACTCTCCGAAATCTCATGCTGATGAAGATCGACGGAAGAGACGAGATGAATCGTCACCACCACCTCACGGCGACACAGACAGTGCTATCGCCACCGGAAGTGACGTCAGTCGAGAGTCCTTGGCTGACAAGCACGACAGGTACAAAACCAGCTGATCTATTCATACACTGGTTTAACCCAGTCACTATTACGATTAAACTTGCCAATAGTTGATTGTTCATAATCTTAATTTTTTTTTTTTAAATGTTTGTTATTCATTTTGTGTATTGAAATGGCTATTTTGACTTTCAAGAACAATTTAAAAGGTCTGAATAATAGCTTTAAATGAAGTTTTTTGAATGAATAGATATTTGAGTTATGGAGTAATAATAACAAATTGCGTTGTTAAAGAATTTAGTTTATTTACTTTTGAATTTGTCCAAGTCGGATTTGAAGTATAGGAATAATACGGGTGCATTAAAAAAAGGAATTACGCTGAGGCAATTTTTCATGTCAGTATTTTCTGAAGTAAAAGAAGCGAAAATTTGAAGGATAGAATAATAACAAAATTGAAAATGGCTGTAGCTTCAACTACCGCTTTCATTGTGTAATTAGCTATCATGAAAGCAGTACAAAATATTTATAAAAATACTTAACAAAATGAGTATCGCAGTCCTAATGCTAGACGTCCTTTGACCATGTCTGGCCTCCAAGACTTATTTACAAGGTCATAAAACTGGATCTGCTTATACAGCTGATTCTGGTTATTAACTTTTATCTGGAAAAACGCATTTTTACGGTTAAACATGGAAATGCGAAATCTAGCGTTAAAAGTATTTTTGCGGGTATTCTCCAATGTTCAGTCTTGGGACCGCTATTTTATATACTTTATGTAAACGACTATAAAATTTTCGTAATGACATCAACGCACTTCTTAGCAGCCATGCCGAGGACACGGCAATATTCTGCAGCGAACGCCAGCGAAAAGAACTTCAGGAAACTTCAAGTTGTACAGAACAAAGTCCTACGTATTATAACGTATGCTCCTTACTTCATCCGTAACAGAAGTCTACATGCAGATTTCAAATTAGAATGAATTAAGGATTTTACCACATGGATTAATGATAAAATTCTTCAACATTGCACTTCAAAACACCCCGCGAATTTTGCAGATATCCTGGGATGCGCAATCCTCGAGGAGGATAACTTTTCCCGGCCATTTGCTGTTTTTTAACAAGCAAGCAGCCCAGTGACACAGCCAGTATTGCACAGGACATCTGTTTAACTCCTGTTAAACTAAAGCCTTCTTTCTTCAAACTTATGACCCAGAGTGATTCTCTCTTGGCACCTTCATATGAACCTTTACAAACATTTTGAGTGGTCATTAGTACATATTTTGTATATATCTTCTGGCTCTTTCATATTGACCTTTACGAACCTTTTGAGTACATATTTTGTATATATCTTCGTTATTTTTTAACTTTATTATGCAAATGTGTCTTGGACTTTGCACCTGCGAACTAAATGACGTCCTTACAAAGACAACCTGCAAATTACAGTATCTTCTGCAGCCAGCAAATTACAGATCATAAGCCTGAAAATTACAGATGTTTATTTACATACTGATAATAGTTTCTGGAATAGTAAAATGAATGAATGCTGTTTATTTTCTTCTATTAGCATGCATATCTGAAAGATTTCGAAGGGCAGTACATTTCTTGAAGAAAAGCATAGCTTTTCATCTATTTATTTGCATGTTTACCTTAGTTACCTGTATGCTTGATTGCGTGGTTCGACCCTTTCTTTGACAAATTGATTTCATTGACAAATACCATGACTCTCGAAAAGTTCTTACCTGGTTAAAAGTTAATCGTAAGAGCGGGAAAAAAATGTATTCTGTTAACTCATCTGTGATAAATAAAATCATAAATTCTTCTGCATCAATTTACCAGATGTGGAGTTACAGATGACTAAATACCATATACCGTTCAGTTTTTTTGGGAAATATTCGAGTTAATAACGTTTTATCTTAAACTTCAATACTTTTATAGAGCACTGATATATTAATGCTATATGAAGTATTATGTGTATATAGTATTAATTAAATATATGATAAGAATAATGTATATGAAGTTTGTTAAATATATGAGTTTATGTGCTCAGCAATAAGTAAACGTCACTGTTATGAATTACTGTTAAATATATGAAGTATACTAAATATATGTATTAGTAAATATGTAAAGTTTAATAGTATGAAGTGTACGAAGTTTAATTCAGATATTTGGCAACTACGGGTTCATCAATATTTCTTTTAAAAAAATGTAGGATATTGTATCATTCCTTATATAAGAGTGATATTTCTAATGAATTTCGACATCTGAATTTGTATTGCTGCGTGCATGTGGGTTCGTAGTGGATTGAATGCACATCGATGCTAGCTTGATAAAAATTATTTTCACAGAAGAAACACTTAACAGTTCTAGAACTTTCCTCAAAAGTACTTGTACAGCTCTTCTCAATATGATAGAGCACAACTAGTAGTTAACACTTAGTCTGTAAAATTAATAAGAACGTTAAACACAACGCAATGCGAAGCGCATATAAAGCGCGAAGCTTGCACGAAGATCTACTCTGAACTGAAAACTGAGAGCTGGTGTTCCCTCCGGACTTATGTAGTTTTCCCTCGACGGTTACAGCCGAAAACATCGCGGCAAAAACATCGCAGACAAAAACGTCGCGGAGAAAACAACGCAAGGCGAAAACGTCGTGCTACAAAACATCGTGGGAGAAAACATCGCAGTTCTAAAACAGCGTGGTACAAAACATCGTCGTCGAAAATAAAGCGGTTACAAAACTTCGCAGTTTAGAAACCTCGTCGTCGAAAATATCGTGGTAAAAAAACAAAGTATCCACAAATCATCGCATGACGATAACATCGCAAACATGCTTTTTTCAGGCTTTAATAATTGTAAATGGATATTCCCGTAATGATTTGTGAGCGCAAGATGGAAAGAAGGATAATTTTTACTTTCATATTTTTTATTAATCAATAAATTTTTGCTGAGAAAATAAAAAGGAAACTTAAGCATAGAAAATTAATGCAACTTATAGCACTTAATAGAATTTTAAACTGACATAGTTAACTAAGAAAGTCCATTAATAAATCATTCTTTTATAAAGTTTTTACTGGTAATTTTTCATGAAAAGTATAATCTATAAGTTGCATTTAATTTTCTATGCTTAAGTTTCCTTCTTACTTTTTCAGCAAAAATTTATTAGTTAATAAAAAAACTGTGAAAGTAAAAATTATCCTTCTTTACATCTTGCGCTCACAAATCGTTATGGGAATATTCATTTACAATTATTAAAACCTGAAAAAAGCATTCTGCGATGTTATCGTCATGCGATGATTTGTAGATACTTTATTTTTTGCCACGATATTTTCGACGACGATGTTTTTAAACTGCGAAGTTTTTGAACCGCTTTATTTTCGACGACGATATTTTGTACCGCGATGTTTTAGAACTGCGATGTTTTCTCTTTGCGATGTTTTCTCCCACGATGTTTTGTGGCACGACGTTTTCGCCTTGCGTTTTTTTCTCCGCGACGTATTCGTCCGCGATGTTATCGGCGGACACCCCCTCGACAGCCGAGAAACCTGTGGTGCCTTCTATTTCTCAAAATAACTGGAAGGCATATTCGTTCAAAGTTACATATAAGGGTTGGATACGGCTACTACATACAGGAACAGTTGCAGTTATTCATTTGCAATCTCAATTACAGTTATACAGGGACGGGACCAACATGTTGCTGAATAATCAAACCAAGTTTGGCGAGTTTTGGCGATTTCTTGCCAAATTTAAAGACAAAAATTAGTCGCCAAAGCCATCCCTAGCTTGGTGATATGTCACCAATTTAGCTGACAGCCACTTACCTCAGCGTTGAATAGACATGCCCCTGCAATCTTATTTTTCCGGCAGGGCTTCACTCGCTGTTCAGACTTATGCAAAATTAGTAGCAATATAAACTTGTCAGTCAAGAGACCCGGAGCTTATTTCTGTTTTTGTAAACTTAAGTTAAAAAAAAATCTGACGTCATGGTCATAAATTAGGACTTCTGTTTCTAACATCTGTATTAAACCTTCGTAGTCGGTTAAATGTAATGAAGAAGAAGAAGAAAACGCTGGTTGTTAGCAAAGGTTAGTGCGGAGACGGGCTAATATAAATCTTGTATTTTCATATAGAAACAGGTAATGAAGAGTCACAAACTTTGCCTTCTGTGCATTTATATGGAAGAGTGGGAAACGAAGGCTGATTTGGAAATCAAGGTTAAGGAAGTGTATATCCAGGCTTGGTTATTAAATTCCCAAGGCTAAATCAATTTATCCCTAATTTTTCTTTCGATCTTCTTTCCCAAGAAAGAAAGAAAATTTCTTCATTGTGAACGTTTTGATACTTTTTGGTTAATATATCGAAATTTTGCTTCAAATGGTATGTTAGTGCGATATCTATGTAGAGATAGAAGTGGCAACCTAACGATATATAACAGCTTCGTGACAATGATGAGAATTTAATGAAATGCAAAAATAATTTAATTAAATGCAGAATTCACAAGTAAAAAAAATCATTAATAATTTCAGTGTGCTTGGGAAACATAAAGCTGCTAATTTCATTTAAGGTTACCAAACATTTTTGTGTCTTCTCAGACAATCGACGCTACATGAATTAAAGTAGAAATATAAATAGTGTCGAGCAGTTCCGCTAATGCATGTTTTGCCATTCTATTCTGCCAAATCGTAATCTCTCATTAAAAAATTCAATACTTAGTAAAAAAGTAATTAAAAAACGGGGAGCGAAAATTATTACATCAATGTCATTCTTCCCGCTTATTCGCAATGGCATCATTGCATAATTATTCTGGTTGTGAAAATAAACAGATAATTACTCCTTTTTTTTTTACTTATTACGTGCTCCGCCCTTAGGCACTACACGGAAAGGAAGGGATGCCCCGTAGAGGTCTTTTTAACCCTTTGCGGCATAGTGTGTCCGGTGTGGACACACCTAAAAATTTCCTTCTGTACGCACAGAAAAATTGAATGAAAAAGGATTTATAGGTTACTATAGGTTACTCTGAACCATCTTTATTTATACTAGATGGCAG